CTCTTGATCAGAAATGGGAAGTTGGGAGTGAGGGAGAAATGGGGTGAAGGAAATGCCAACGAACGCCCCTTCCTTACAGACTGGGTGATAGGATGAAAGGAGGGGGGTGACCGGGGCACATTTCAGAACCTAAGCAGTGCAATGGAGTTTTATGGTGGTATTTCAGCCCTGGAGACCCAAAGATATGTCCAGGGATATGTTTGGGCTCAATCCTGTGATGTGCTGAGCACCCTTAGCTTCTCTTGCTTCTCAGGGAGTTGAGGGTACTCTGCATCTTGCAGACTGGGCCTGACACACAATAACCCCCTCTTGTATGAAGGCCTCCCATTGCGGGCTTTTCTTCATGGCAGTGTTAGCTCAAGTTATCGACACTCTAATTACGTGTGCTGTGCACAACGGCACAAGGCTTTGAGGGGATCCATGGAGGGAGTGTGCCCTGTGTGGCATTTGGTTCAGTGGCAGCAACAGGGCTGGATTTACTCCTATGTGCCCATGGGCATATATATATATATATCTCTATCAAAAAAAAGTTAAAGAAAAAAAAAGTATGTGTGCAGCCTCCCCAAAAAGGCACAAGAAGACCCTCTCCCCTGCATGGCATTCCCACCTGCCCCAGGCAAGGTGCATGTGGCAGAGCGTACCTCTCCCCACGGCAAGCAGTCCCCAGGTCTCTTCCATTCCTCCTACAGCCTAGCACAGCAGCTGCACTCTGGCTGTGCCTGTGCAAGTACATGGAGCGCAAGCTATGTCCCCCTCCCTCTCTGGCATAGGGCAGAGACAGCAAGGCAGCTGAGATTGGGAAAGGGCTCGCAGCACCCCCTCCAGGGATGTCTTAGATCAGGGGTATCCAAACTTTTTTCAAAGAGGGCCAGATTTGAAGAAGTGAACATGCGTGAGGGCCGTCCCCGCACTCTCAGCCCTAAGGCGGAGGGCCCGCAGGGTCGGAGGCGGGCGGAGAGCACAGGGCACTCCGGCCTCACAGCGGCCCGGGGGCAGGGCGAACCTGCAGCCGAGCGGGGGAGCGGGGCTGCGGACGTGCCCTACAGGGCAGGCTCTAGGACCGCGGAGGCCATGGGCGGCGGCGGCGGCGTGGGCAGAAGCGGCGCACTGGGCACGCCAGTTCAAAAGAGCGCCGGGGAGCCAGGAGAGGGGGAGGAAGCGGGGGCCGTATTAAACCGGAACACGGGCCGCAATTGGCCCACGGGCCAGACTTTGGACATGCCTGTCTTAGATGCTCACCTGGCTTCAGCCCCACACCAGGAGCCCAGCCACCTGCAGGAGAGCTGTATATATTAACTTTTAACCCACTTTCAACATTTAGGTGCCCCTAGAATGCTGGCACTCCTAGGCATGTGCCTACAGTGCCTAACTGGAAAGCAAGCCCTGGGAAGCAGATGGGGAATGAGCAGGGGTTAAAAGTCAGCACAGATCCCTCTTATCTTCTGAAAGCAGAGGGGAACTCCTCTTTTCCTTCGGCTGATAAGCAGCTCGCTCCACACCCACTCTCCTTCAGCTCCAGCTGGCCAGAGTAAGCAGTGCCCTGCTCTCTGCATGGTGCAGTAAAAGCTCCTCCTCCTGAGTCATTCTTCACTGGGGAGATGACCTGCCACAGGGTGGCATTGCTGGTGGCTGTGTACCTTCTCTAGGGCATATTAGTGAGGAGCAGGTCTTCTGGGAAAGTGGGAGATAGCGGGGACTAGCCTGTTAAATTAACTAAACAATAGCAAACTGAACAAACTGAAAATGAATTGAAAGAGCTGTCACTCTGGTTAGCAGAAAGGTACAGGGCCCAAACTTGCCCTGTCTCACCCACTCTATGCAACCCCTGATGTCAATGCAGCACAATCAAGGGGCAAGCACATTCAAGCAAAGCAATGGGACGCTACATGCTGTCCATCCACCCAAAGACTCTCTCTCCCAGGTGGGGGTAAGCTTGTGCAATTTGGGTCTGTAGCTGTGGAATGTCTATAGTGCTGAAGTGAATAGTTTAGATCACACAGAAATTATTTTCCATGGCTGTAACTAGAATAAAGCCATGTATTCTTATGGGAAAATGCAATACCTAGAGCAGTACACATTTTATATTCAATATCTCAGGCTGGGGATAAATTATATTGCCCACATGCAGCCTATTTTCAGTCTCAAAACTGCTGTGTTCTACAGAGCCATAGTCTTCTGCCCCAGGCACATTCAGGGCCCACTTTTGTTTGGGATGCACCTGACACCTCCGGATAATCCGGGCCTTTGGATTGATATTCCACTTGACAATAAAACCACCGAGACAGTGGGGCAGCAGTGACTGGCAGTTTGAGTTCTCTTACCTTCGTAGTATCACTGTGAAGTGCGTGTTCATGAAGAACACCTGAAGAAGGGAATTCAGGCAGCAGCTCAGTCCCATATTGTACAGCCCAATAGCTCCTGTAGGGACAAGAAGAAGTGAGGCTTAGAGCTCGCATGGAGGTAAGGAGAGTAAGGGGTAGTGAGAAGATGGCAAATTTCCCTTTGGGCACAGACCAAACTCTTCACTAGGCTGGAGGGAGGGTAAAAGCCACTCTTGTACCACCTTTAACACTGGTTTGTCTTGATAGCTGAAAAGAGTTGGGGCAGTGTCTCTAAAGGTGATCTGAAGCTGCAGCAAATGGCAAAATTTGGATAGAGGCTAGTCTAATTTTTTAAACCCATTCTCCCCACATGTAAGGATTGTCTGGATGAGGGATTTTTTTTTTCAGACTTCTATGGCGCTAGACCCTTATCAAAAAATTCAGATCTGTCTTAAGGTCACACAAATTCAAGGAAAGTGTCCAGTTCAAGGTTCCTATCCAGGTCTATCTATAGCCAATATTTTAATCCACTTGCCCAGCAAATATAAGAGCAATTTGGACCTGGTGTTCAGGAAGACACAACCAATCCTTGTCAAATTGAAAAAAAATCTGCCCAGTTTAGGGTTTTGAAGGGATGAAAACAGCTGGACTCCTCAAGTAGCCCTTTCTCTAAAGCACAAAACTTTCACTTGGAAGATTTCAATGAGTTTGTTCTAATACCTTACTTGTTCAAATCTTCCGTGTGTGAAGAACTGCAAAGGTAAGAGGAAATGAACTGAGGGACAGAGAACAAGATGGAGTGAAAAGACAAAAATGGGAGGGAGGGGAGGTAAAAGCAATTACCATTGTTTAAATCTGCTACACCATGGAGAGCTCTTAGCTGCTTGCCACCTCTTTTCACAGCTTGCTCTCTACTCTCTTCTCCATCTTCCTCCTTCCTCATGCTCGGATTTGGTGACAGCTCTAATTTTCTGCTGTTCTCTGGACAGCCAAATCTCTGGCCCATCAACAGCACAATGCAACACAAGGACTGCAGTGATACCAAAGGACCTAGAAAGACTGGGAAGATGGGCACAATATAGCAAAATGAGATTATCTTGCTATTTACAAATACAGAACAGTTTTCACAATGAAGAATGTTAAATAAATGTGATTATTGTTGTTACATATGGATAGGTTAGGGTGGCACCCTAGGGCTATGTCTAGACTGCAAGCCTCTTTCGAAAAAGAGCGTCTAGACTGCAAGCAGTACTTTCGAAACAGCAAGCCGCTTTTTCAAAAGAGAGCACCCAGGCAGTCTGGATGCTCTCTTTCGAAAAAGCCCTGTTTGCATTCAAGAATGCCTTTTTTTTTCGAAAGAGCACTTTCGAAAAAAGGTGTTCTTCCTGGTGAAATGAGGTTTTCCGCCGTCGAAATAAAAGCCGCATTCTTTCGATTTAATTTCGAAAGAACGCAGCTGTAGTCTAGACACAGGTGAAGTTTTTTTTTTCGAAAAAAGGCTATTTTTTTCGAAAAAACCCTGCAGTCTAGACACAGCCTAGGTGAACTGTATTGGCAGAGCAGTATGGATGGAGAACACACTGCCACTCCACCGTCTGCATCCGTTTTGTGGGTAAGTAAAGAACCCTGGTCTAAAGGGAAGTCAGTTAGGCATCTTTCATTAGCACATAAGTCTCTTCAGACACAAAGGAAAGCCAAAAGAAACATTCAGGACACATGTAGTCTGACTGGCTGGCCTTTTGTAGGTATGCCGCACAGACAGGGTGTGTCTAGACTACAGAGTTTTGTCGACAAAAGTGGACTTTTGTTGACAAAACTATACCTGCGTCTACACTACTGCTGAGTTCTGTCGACATAACGTCGACAGAACTCAGCAGTTTTGTCGACGCTGGTAAACCTCATTTTACGAGGCATAACACCTTCTGTTGACAGAGTTTCTGTCGACAGAAGGTGTTATTGAATGTAAACTGTCCTTTGCGTCTACACTACCATATCGACAAAGCAGCTTGCTTTGTCGACAGAAGCCTGTAGTCTAGACGTACCCACAGAGTTGCAGTAATTTAGTTGCCAAACAATCTGTGAACACCTTTCTATTTCCTCAAATATTTGCATATGATCAGGAAACCAAATATTTTCATATAATCAGTCAGTTCATTCACAAACAAGGAAAAAGCCTAGCTGAAAAACGTACTTTTGATCCCAAGAGTGATGAAGCCTCAGGTATTGTACTGGCATCTAGTATACTTAGATTTCATTACAACTTCAGCATTATCTCTACAATATTGTATATACTCAACCCTGCAATTGCAGCACTACTTACTGAGAGATCTGTGAACATTCCGCTTCAGGAAGGCAGGGTAAATAAAGGCACAGAAATCTGTGGAACAAAAAAAATATATATTACAACAAAACAAATTCTTTTCACAGGGGATGCTGGTATGTTTGTGGAAAAATAACACAATGCAGAAGAGTTGCCTGCCTATTGCAAGCATAACTTCCAGAATGTCAGGACCTTGAAAAACCGGATCCTTAGGATACAACAGTGGGCTTTTTAAAAAATCGCCACAATAAAGCTGCAAAGCGATATGGTGCCCTATCATGTCCATCCAGCAGCAGTACTGCCAACCTCAAACATCCCCCTCTGAACAACCACAATGTGAAAAATCTTGCAGCATAACAGGGAGAAGCAATTTAAAAGCACCAATATCAGAAATACTGACTACAGTATTCTGAGGATAACCAGAGTGTCCAGAGCCAGAGTACTAAGGCCACAGTATTCACAGAAGCCAGATGGTATCAAATGGTGGGGTAAAATGATTCAGTGTGTCTCTGGGAGTCTAAATGCTAAGTTGCAGGGTGGATAAAAATCAATTATTTTTATTGGATTTTTTTACTTCATTCATATTTGTAAATCAATAAAATACTAAATTTATCATTTAAAAATAAGTTACAATTAAATCTCAGCACAAACATGCTACACCTACACTTACAGTCTCATTAAAAATGAGTTAATGGCTCTAATTTGTCCAGCTTAACTCCTAGATCTTGTTTCCTGAAAGTTCTGGGCTTTCAATTTCTGTTTCCCAACACACTAAAGTAACATGTGCAAAGAAAGACACAAGCTGGACAGGAGTGTTCTTATTCTCCGTCTATATGGTGGTGGACCTTTGCCAAGCACAGCAGAGGAGTTAGTTAAGGCATTGTCTTAAAGATAGGAAAAGATGGAGACAGCATAAAAAAGAACAGTGGAGTGGACTACCAAGAAAAAGGGAAGACATTATTGAGAACATACACAATTTCCTATATTTCCCCACACTTTTGCCACAGAAAAACTGTCATGGCTTCTGGGCATAAGAGACCATATCTGAGAAAATTTTTGAAGAAATTTGTTCCCTGGATAAAAAAGGAAAATGTGTTACGTGTAACCAATGCAAGAAGATGATTCAAGGCCTAGTTGCAAATATGAAACATAAGGAAAACTGCTTATTAGGGTCAGAGAGTTGCCATGTTAATCTGTTTTGTCAGCAAAAACAAGAAGTCTGGTGGTACTTTAAAGACTAAAAAATTTAAATTTGGGACTTCTTGTTGCTTATTGGGAGAAGATATTGATATGCCTGAATAACAATGTGGATCAACTGGTTAGTAACTTAAATAATTCACATTGCAATATATCTTTCTCCAAGACTCTCTCTATGCCTTTTAGTATAAGTGTGATTTAACAAGTAAATTCCCAAGCTGTGTTGGATGTACCTAGGGAAAAAAAAGTGTATCTTAGTGAATCCTTATGGTTTGTTCAATTAGTTAACTAGGGTTAGCATCTACCACCCAAATATACAATAAAGAAAATTGCAGGAAAAGGAATCTAGAGTTGCCATTTGCTACTGAGGGTACATCTACACAGCAGCATTATTTCAGGGTAAATGTCTGTTATTCCAAAAAAACTATGCGCGCATCTACACAGCTAGCCCATTATTTCTAAATAATTTTGAAATAATGGGCAGCTTATTTTGGCATTTGTAAACCTCATTCCACAAGGAATAATGCCTCTTCTGAAACAGTTATTTCGGAATAGCAGTAGTGTGGATGCGCTACCACTGCTATTTCAAAATAGTTCCTCCTCCAAGCCATTCAAAGTACTGTAATTACTCCCCAGTGCTTCCTGGGGCTCTAAATCGAGGTAATACATCCACATTAGGGGAGCCTGCCTTGGACTAATTTCCAGGCTTTCCTATAGTGTAGTCACACTATTTCAAAATAAGCTATTTCGGAGTATTTCTTCTGGAATAACTTATGCCAAAATAATCGTGCAGTGTAAATGTAGCCTGAGTGTCCTTTTTTTATTTTATATTACAGAAAACATGCCTCTTATTTTGGAACATCATAGCCACAGATCATAATGGTGATGACAAACCTATTCCCTGTTTTTACTTCAGCATAACTCATCTTTTCCAAGGGAATCTCATCCTATACTTATTCTCTCAAAAAAAAACCAGAAGTACTAGTGAATTTAATGGAGTTTACCCCCAAAATAAGTGCACTCTAAGCACAGCCAGTCTCTGCTTTTTTGGCAATTTGGAATTGGGTCTGTGTCCTTGCTGAAAAAAAAATGTAAATAATTAATTCAATAATAGAATCAGAGGAACTGAGAAGAATGACTATTCAAAATTATTTTTTAATTTTGTTTCAGGATCCCATTTAAACGTCATAGACTTAAGAGACTTCTGTCTACCTGCAACAACTCGAGTCATCCATTGGTATTTTTAACATCAGTGCTGCAACTAAACATATTTCAGATAACAAACTATCAGTAGCAAACAAAAGATTTCAACAAGACACCATAGATTGCTCAGTTCATTTATGCCACAAATCCTCCTTTTCGCATTAACTATAAACACCTTCGTAGACATGTTTGAGCCATTATGACCAGGCCACGTTCCATCTGGTAGAGCAGATATTGGTGGAAGATTGCCAGATGCAGTGTATGAGAAGGAACTTGAACCATGTACAAGAAACGCTCAGGGGAAATTTGTCCGATGGGTGGAGTAATGTACACAATGACCCATTAATGTGTGCCTGTGCGGCAACATAAGACGAAACTGTCTATCTTTCAGAAACAATAGATACACAGGGAAATGCCCACACAACAGCATATTTAAAAGAAGTAGCAACACAGGCCCATACACAGGAATTTCTGTGGGGGAGTATGTGCTTTTGTTTGTAAATGTGGGCTACAAGGGTGTGAACACACTCCCCTCCCCTCCATGGTCCCCCAAGTAAACATGCTCCAGCTGACCCGGGGAATGTGGGGGCTGATTTCCCCAGCCCCGGCCTCATTCCTGGAGGAGGTGGGGGGAATCCACCCCAGCCTGCCCCCAGCCTGCTGGAGCATGGGGGAGAGGGGCTAGGGCAGCGCCCTGCTTCTGCCTTCCCTGTCTGGCCAGAGCATGCTTACGTAAGAGATCATGGGGGGTGGAGGGTGCATTTGCACCCTTCACACACACACACCATGTACAGGCCTGATAAATCAAACATACATCTTGGGGTTGCTTTGTCTTTTACATAGAAACATTCACCACTTTCTTGTAAATTTTGGTCCTTACACATGTATCCCAAATTTTTTTGGGCCACACACTGAAACACGTCAGTGGTTTTTCATTGTTGATTTTCTTTATATGCCCAGGAATGATGATAACTGGAATACCTAATTTATTTTGTTGTTAGCTGGATTCCCATAGGTACCACTGGATACATATCAACAGTTAGGCTAGGACAGGGATGGGGAACCTCAGGCCCAGAGGCCAGATGCAGCCCCCAGCTTGCCTGGATCTGGCCCCCGAAGCTCAAGGCCCCCCCCCCC